AACTAGTAGTAAACTAGTGTTATTATAGCTAGTTTTTTATAATTTACTAGGGCTTTTTATACATGCTTAAAATTAAAAAATAGTTTTTATAAGTTTTTATAGCTAGGCCAGCCCTTTTACTTAATAAAAAATTTATTATATTTATAAATTTATTATTTTTTAAAAATAGCCTTAACTTCCTATTTTTTTTTTTTATTAACTAACTTTATAATTAGTGGTTACTTCTTTTCCCCCTTAGGCTTATCTTACTATATAAATAGCTTTAAAAAAAAGATATAAAATACTAAATAAATTTTTAACTAACTATATATACTAGTAAGCTGGAGCTAATATACCTACTTTTTAATAATAAATTTAATTTTAAAGGGTTTATTATATTTTAGGTTAAGTTTTTTACTTAAATATATTAATTTAATATTTTTTAAAAATACTAAAACATTATCTCCGACCTTAAATTCTGCTAAATAATATTTTTAATTATAGTAAAGTACCTACTTTTTTTGCGCCTTATTTATATAATCCTATAAATTTTTATAAAGCTATTTTAAATAATATAAGCACTTTTTAATAAAAAAATAAAATATTAATTTCCCTAGGTTTTTAAGCCTAAAAATTACTAGTTCCTGCCCATAGCTTACCATAAGCAAAGTATAGCTAGTTAAGTTATTTTTTAAATTATTATAAGTAAAGCGTGCTAGCAGTAAGTATAACACCTAGTTATTTTACTAATAGTTATAATATATATATAAATACACCTTAAGTGTTTAGTTCTAGCACTTAATTTAACTATTTAATTAAAAATAATATACTATACTAAGTTATTGCTTAATATACAGTGCTTAATAAAAGGCTATTTAATACTTTAAAGTAAAAAATAAACCTTAATTTATTACTATGCTCCGGGGTAACCCTGTATTATATATAATTTTTTTAATAAATAAGTTAGCTAACTTCTCCGCAGTAATTTTATTAATAATAAAAAAATATTTTATTTTCTTGCTAAATTAATTTATAATTACTAAAATTATATTATAAACACGCCCTTTATACTTTAATAAAGGTAGGCTAATAATAAAGTTTATAAAGATATTTTTTTACGGTATATTTAATACTAAAAAAAATATTAAACTTCCCTAAGGTAGCTACCTTAAAACCTTAAACTTTTAGTATAAAAAATATTTTTTAATATATGCATGTATATTTTTATTAAGCTTTTTTTATTAAAACTTGCGGGCAAGTAATTTAATAATTTTTTTATAGTTAAAGTAGCCTGTATAAAAATTATTATAATATTATTTTATAATTTTATATTACAACGCGGGCACGGGAGGTATATAAATAATATTTTTATAAAAAAAAAGTTTTTTTTTCTTACGCTATTTAATAATAAAAAAGGCCTGCCCTAAATTAACAAGGATTATATTTTTAAGCTACTATTATAATTAACTTATAAAAGTGTTTTTTTATTAGGCTGTAATTAATTATTACTAAAGAATATTTATAACTAGTCTAGCGGTTTTTTTTTTACTTACTACCTTTATAATAAATATTTTAAAACTTAAAAGTTTTAAATACTTACAAGCCTAACCACGCGGAAAAATAGCTAGGTTTTTTAATATTATTTTAGCAGTAGTTTATTAAAAAAATAAACTTAACTTTTTTTATAAAGTAAGGAGCATCCTAACTTAATACTTTTTATTTTTTATTATATAATTTAATTACTATAATAGTATATTTACTAAATTATACTTACCTGGCTTATATTTTATTTTAAAGTTATAAGCCATAAGTAATTTTACCTATTATACCTACTTTTAGTTTAAAACCTTTATTATAAAAAAATAGCGTAGGTTATTATAATTACACTACATATGTATAAAATATAAAAAGCCCTTAAGGTAATAACACCACTTTTTAAAGTATTTAATTACTATAAGTAGTTTTTAATTATAGACCTTATAGCAAAGCTTTAATTTATATAATTAATAAAAATAAAAGGCCACAAGGCGCCACTAGTCCTATTTTTTTTTACTAAGTAACTTTTTTTACTTTAGCTATATAATAATTTTAGTAATAGCAAACCCTAATATATTAATAATAATAAAAATCTTTTTTTTAGGATTAAAGTGCTGTAGTACTAGTAGTTTAATAAAGTTTAACTTAATTTTTTTAAATATATTTTTTATATTAA